TAAAAACGAACACAAACTGATAAAAAGTAAAAGCAGCAAAGAAAGAAAAAAGTGTAGAAAGAGAACAAAAAAAAAATTCTGATATTTGTAGCAAATAAGTACAATTACAAAATTAACTCTTGCTCTATGATTACAAAAAAAGCTCACTTGTTTTCTATTGTCCAATTTTTTTCTAATCATCACAACCACAAATCATAAGTGCATTTTTTTCTGTTTCATGCAAAAAGTCTATAAGGGGTTTCCAGTCAGCCATAAATGTAGATAGTTTTTTAAAGGAAGTTACTTGCCATCTCTGCAAGTTCCATCATCTTTATCAGCCATTCCTCCATTGTGCGTAGTGTTGAACCTTTCCATTTTTGAGCATATAATAGTCTCACTACAGTTGTCATATATAAAAACAAAGTTCCATGTCTTTTTTCTAATTGCCCATTAGTCCCAAAAGAAAAGTCTCTAATCTCAGTTGTATTTTAACCTTTAAAATCTTCTGAATTACTGTATATATTTGTATCCAAAATTAGTTGGCTTTTTTACATGTCCACCAAAAATGATAAAATGTCTCTTCATGTTGTTCACATTTCCAGCAAACAGTCAAAGTACCTTTATATATTCTAGACAATTTCTCTGGTGACAAATACCAATGATACATCATTTTATAAAAATTCTCTTTAAGGCTAGAACATAATGTAAACTTCAATCCTTTCAACCACATATTTTCCCATTGATCCATTTGAGTATTATAGCCAAAAATTTTAACCCATTTTATCATACATTCTTTCACTTCTTGAAGGTCTCGTATTTTAGCAAAAGTTTATACATTTTAGCAATAACATGGTCATTAGTACACAATTCTATTTCAAACTCGAAAACCATTGACAAGAATGGTTGTCAAATCTTCTGTTGTCAAATCTTCTCTTGATTTCATTTTACAATCCCCTTGAGAAAATTCTAGTACATCATGGTAGGTTAGCCATTTCTCATTTGTAAAATGCTTCTTGCGCTGAAAGCCACAAAGGTATTCTCAGGCAAAACCTAAATTTATATTTATTCCATACTCTAAGAATAGCCCATCTGATATAATGATTTTTAGAATCTACAATCACCTTAGCTTTATCATACCACAGATATTCATGCCATCCAAATCTCAGATTGTGACCTTGTAAATCCAGTAACCTTTTATTTCTTAACAACACCCATTTAACATTCTCTTTTCTTTCTCTTTGCAGAGTTTGTAAGCCAACCATTTCCCTGGTTTATTCGCAAATTCAGAATGTCTTTGCTTTGCATAATTCAATTGTATTTCGTTTTCTCTTATTATTAACGTAGATCTTAATTTGTTGGGATATACAGTGCATTTGGAAAGTATTCAGACCCCCTTCACTTTTTTCAGTTTTGTTATGTTGCA